TGGCTTGTAGTGTTTCTGTTGAGAAGTCAGCTCCTAGGTTTATCGGGGACCCCTTGTATGTTACTTTGTCCTTCTCTCTTGCCACCTTGAGGATTCTCTCTTTGTCTTTGACATTGCCATTTTAATGATGATGTGTCTTGGAGTGGACCTCTTTGAGTCCCTCTTGAGTGGGGTCCTCTGTGCCTCCTGGATCCATGAGAGCCTTTCTCTCCTCAAATTAGGGAAATTTTCCATCATTACTTTTTCGAGGAGGTTCTCTATCCCTTGCTCCTCTTCTTCTCCTGCTGGTATCCCTATTATACGGATATTATTGCGTTTCAGGTTGTCCTGCATTTCCCTAAATGCCTCTTCATTCTTTTTGAGCCATTTTTCCATTTCTTGTTCTTTCTGGGAGCTTCTTTCTACCTTGTCCTCCATCTCACTGATTCGATCCTCGGCTTCATCCAGCCTGCTTTGGATTCCTTCTACTGTGTTCTTCAATTCAGAAATGGTATTCTTCATATCCTCTGGTGTCTTCTTGATAGTTTCTATGTCCTCTTCCAGGCTGATATAGCTTGCTGTAAGATCCTGATAGTTTCTCTGCAGTTTCTCATAGTTCTCTTTGAGCTGGCTGAGCTCATTGAGCTTCCTTAGAACCATTGTTTTGAATTTAGTATTTGATAGTTCCCTTGCCTCTATTTCATTGAGCTCTCTCTGTGGGGAGTCCCCTTTTCCACTCATTTGAGGGGAACTTCTTTTTCTTCCCATTTTTGTGAGAGTCTGTTAAGTATTTTTGTCCTTTACTTTTCTTTCTGGGCCTGCTTCTGATGATGTGAGTTGTTGACCCTATATGACCTTGGGTTGTTTGTTTGAGTCTTCCAGGAGTCTATTGTCTGTGTCTGACTCCTGCTTGGGCCAGCTCTGTGACCCCTTCAGTCAGGGCTGGGCTAATTTTTGGGATCTCTCTGCACTCTCTGGCTCCTTGAGCGCGCTCCTGGCGAGGCAGGATCCCCCGCCGGCCTGGGCTTGCGAACTCATCTGACCAGGGGGCTTATTCATGACCTCGCGAACTCATCTGGCCCCCCTGGCCGGCGAGCTCCCTGGCACTGGTCAATTTAGGGTCTTCTATTGTGTGTTTTCCCCGCTTTTGGCTCTTTGGGTGCGTTGCTTGCCCTCGCCAAATGGGGACTACGGAAATGGGAAGAAGTCAGCTCCAGGACTCTCTGGTTAATCCTGTCTCCAGTCTCTCCTCCAGGGACTCTGGGCAGCTCTGTGACCCCTTCGGCCGTGGATCTACTAATTTTGTGGGCTGCTCCTCAATCGCGGGCGGGCGGGTCAATTTACTCCTGCCCTTGCCGCTCTGTGCACTCCCTCGCAGGCTGGATCAGTGCCAATCTGTCGGAGGTCTTGCCGGCAGGTGCAAGCGTTCTCCAGCCCGGGTGGGTCACACACATGCTCACCAACCCTCGCCAGTCACTCGGCGCAAGTGTGCGCGCCTGCACTGGGTGTTTTTGGGGTGTCTATGTGTGCTTTTCAGCTTTTGGCTCTTTGGGGGTGTGGCCTCTTCCTGCACAATGGAGACTTAGGCAAGGAGAAGGAGTCGGGACTCCCTGGTTCCTCCTCCTGTCCTTTCCCCAACGCCTGTTTCTAGTCTCTCCTCAGGGGTCTCTGGGCAGTTCTGTGACCCCTTCGGCCAAGGATCCACCACCTGTGCAGCCTGTGTTTCAATCGCAGGCAGTCTGGTTCATGCGCGCCCCGCTTCTGCCTCTTTGGGGTCGCGCCTTTCCAGCCCACAATGGAGACTACAGAACGGGGAGGGAGTCGGGACTCCCCGGTTCCTCCTCCCGTTCTTTCCCCAACGCCTCTGTCTCCAGTCTCTCCTCAAGGCTCTCCCAGCCAGTCTGCACTCAGTCCCCCTGCTCACATGCACAAGCTGTGTGTGGAGCGCACAAAAGGCAGGTTAATTGATTCCCTTATGCCTGAGGGAGATGGTAGCTGCAGAGTGGGAAGTGCGTTATCACCCGGGCTCCACCGGCCGCTGTCTCAGTTCTCTTCACAAAGTTTTCCTCACCAGTCTTTTCTCAGGCACCAGCCCACCCTGCTGCCGCCTCTACCCAGAGATCAAGGAGGGTGGCTGCCACTGCAATTTTTGCGTTGGCCCTTTAAATGTCTCTTTGCATCCCCAGCCACCTGTCTCTGGCAGAGAGCGCCCCTAAGCTTTTCGGGGTTGCGTTTTGTCTGTATTTTCTTGGCTTTAGCTGCTGTAGTTTAGGGGTCCCTGTTTATGATTCAGACCCCGTTCTTCTCGGGGGAAGCTACCTGGCCGTTTCAATGTCCCTCTGGTGCTAGTGCCCGTGGGCACCCAGCCCACCCTCTCGAGCTTCCACCACACTTCTCACCCGTTGGGATGTGTGAGAGTTGAATCCACTGTGCACGGCTCCAAGGCTCCTCTCCCATTATTGTTCCATTGTGTTCCAGGTGATTACTCCACTATTTAGTCGCAATTCCAGTTTGGTCTTGGGAGGAGGTCAGCGTGACTCCCATTCATTCCTCCGCCATCTTCTCTCTATTATTTTATTTTAGTTTTTTATTGTTGTTCAATTACAATTGTCCCAATTTTCCCCCCATTGCTCTCCCCTGCTCTGCCTTAAATCCAAGATTTCATATTTTATCTGGACAGTGCATTAGATGTTGGATTCAAGATTTAAATGTTTCAAACATTAGGTATGTTGTCATAGGTAAATTTCTTAAATTTGTATCCTAGTATTCTTATTATAAACTTTGTCTATCTTTTCTCATAGAATTTGATGTTACATTGAAATGAAAGTAGACTTTGAAAAGGATTTAAAATATTACAATTTAAAATTGCTAGTATGGTTAACAATTTCTGAGTATTTTTTCTATACACAGAAGCAATATATTTAACATATTTGTTTTCTTGAGAATTTCTAGAGATATTTATTTATATTTCTATTAAGATACATATTTAACTTAGCCTGTAGAATTTATATTTATATGTTTTTTACATCATATTTTCTAAGAATACTGATTTTAATATGGACTTATCTTCTCCCTATACTGCAAAATATTGAACAGTTTTTTTAAAAGATTTCTAAGTTTTTTCATATATCATTGATTAGTGGAAAATGGCTAACATCAATATTAATCTCTAGTGAACAATCAACTGGATTATATCATTGCGATTAATTGCCTCAATTCTGCCAAATTTTGATACTTAATTACTTCATCTGTTGGTAATATTGGTAATAAAGTACTGACTGAGAATTCAAATATAGATCTCACTGATTCCATAGTCATTTCCATACATGAAGTCATATGAGTTATTATAGTTATTTTATTATGAATCAAATTTTCTAATTAGCTCTTCAATATTAAGATATCTATGTGACTTCACTAACAGTGACAGTATATTCACAAGTGTTTCTTTAATCTGTTCTTGCTTCCATAATATATCTCAAAATGTTTTATAAGTCTCAATGAAAAATTTACAAGTTTTTTTCCAAGTATGGAAAAGGAAAACAGCTCCAAAATATTTCTCCCATAATCATTACTGCATTGATTAGAAAAGATATACAAGCCTCCTTCAGTTGTTCAACACATTTTTATTGAGTCTTTAATTTATCTTATTTTAGGAATTTAAAAAATTATTGGAAATGTAAAGATAAATACAAAACCTCCATTTTCAATTAATCTACCTAACATTCTTGGCTTCTGTCTTCATCACATAAATTAGTTGTTAAAGTTGCTTCTATAATCCACTGACTAAAAAAAAAGCTAAAGCAATGAAAATACTTCATAATACATTTGTAGGTTACATTCATATTTTATGTGTTTAGTTTATTATAAACTTGCCTGTCAATTTAATTTCCTTACCTTTGATTAAAATCTCAGTAAGGAGTAAACAAGCCTATGAATTAGTCTTAATATAACTGTGAAGATCACCAAGATCAGTAAGGGTTTTTTTTTTTATGGTAATAGTGACAGAATATAAGCTATGTTCAAAAATTGATAAAGGTGAAAATGTCATGACTCATGTTTGTACATTTTCTAACATCCTTCACAAACTATTTATAGTAGATCATACTGTTGGTTTCATTAGAGTAAACTGACCAGTTTAGAATTTCACCATCTGTATATTCTGTAATTGAAAAAAGTCAACATTAATGAATAAATTACACTAAAGCCCTGTTATGAGCCAGGCACCAAACTGAATACATTCATGCCCATTGTCATTTTTAGTCTTTACAAGAGCACTGAATGGTAGGCATCATTATATGCATGCTACAGATGAGGAAATTAAGGTTCCAGTAATTTAAGTAATTTTTTAGGATTTACTTGGCTTGTAAGTCAAAGATGGATATTTGAACACACACTATTAGGCAATTGCTCTCTCCATTATACTACTAGATGGTGGTTAGCAGTGAGATAATGTAATGAAACAAATGAATATGCCCCATTAGTTTATTGTTCAACATTCATATAAATTTGATTTACTCTAATTTGATATGCCTTTAAATATTTTGTGGTAGTGAAAAATTTATATATATATATATATATACATATATATATATCTTATTTAATTCATAAGGTTTTACTCATGCATCTAGTTTAAAAAAGTTAAAACCAAGAGGAAAAAGAAAAAAATGTGGCAAGGCTGAGAAATGCTGAGAATTTGGAAAGGGTGGCTTGTACCAGTATGTAACAGCAAATTAAATAGAAAGAATGAATGAAATAGATGTGATGAAATTAATGGGTAGAATGGGAGAACACGAATTGATAAAAACAGATTTGCTTCAGGGAAGAAAAAGAAGTTGGAGACAGAATAATTCGGGATAAAAGGAGTTTTTCTGAGTTTGATTAATTATAAAGCCATAAATAGGAGTATTATGATTTAATGGAAGAAATGCAAACAACTAGGCTATTATCTCATAACTCATTATTTAACAAAATTAATTACTTTAACTTTAGATTCATTGCTCTCAGAAACTCACTTCAATTTCTTAGTTCTTCTGCTTTTTCCAGGGAAGTCCATTCTTACACCACAGCTTCTGCATGGCTGACTTGACCTCTTTGTTCCGAAGTGTGTAGATGAGAGGATTCAGCATGAGGGTAATGACACTGTAAAGTACAGACACCATTTTGTCCACAGAAAAAGTAGAGAAGGGACGAGCATAAATGAAAATACAGGGTCCAAAAAACAGTGTTACCACCGTAAGGTGAGAGCCACAGGTAGAGAATGCCTTTTGCCTTCCCTCTTTGAAGCGAATCTTGACAAGGATAGTGGTATAGGAAGAAACCAGCAGCACAAAGCAGCTGGTAGAGATTAGCCCACTGTTAGATACCATTAGTAATTCAATGACAAATATGTCTGCACAGGCAAGTTTGATGACAGAGGGACATCACAAAAGAAGTTGTCCACCTCATTTGGCCCACAAAAGGGCAGACGGATAGTGAGAATTGTCTGGACAATAGAGTGCACAAGTCCTCCCATCCAGAAAGCAGCTACCAACACATAGCATAATCCTTGACTCATGATAGTGGTATAGTGCAGGGGGCAACAAATTGCAACATAGCGGTCATAGGCTGTCATTGTGAGAAGGAACATCTCAGCTGCCCCTACAAAATGCAGGAAGAAGAGTCGCATAATGCATTGGCCATAGGAAATGAGCTTTTTATTATTAAGAAAGTCAGCCAGAAGCTTAGGGGTAGTTACTGTTGAATAACAAAGGTCCAGGAAAGAGAAGTTGCCAAGAAGGAAATACATGGGTGATGAGTTCAGATAGTTATCAGAGGCCACTGTGACCATGATGAGGACATTGCCTGTCCATGTGGACACATAGAAGAATAGAAATAGTACAAATAGCCCTGCCTCAATAGTTGGTGTCTGGGAGAGACCTGCCAGGCCAAATTCTTTCACCACTTCTGTTTGGTTTTCATCCATTTGACCTGGCTCTCCCTAGATCAAAGAAATTAAACAAGAGACATTAGTAATATAAATGGATCACATATTTCACACTAAATGCAAGAAGCTTATCATTTTTAAGAGATATTTCTCTCTAGGATACATCCTGATTGATCAGCTGGAAGAATGGTTTTTCTCCTTTTCTTATATAAAAATATATTCCCCAACAAGCTCCAACTTTGAGAATATGATGAATAGCCAAGATTTTTTTAGTGAAGGTACCTGGTCCTGGGTGTTCAGCTTCAACTTGATGCATCTGTCTTCCATCAGTTAGTATTTTACTTCTCTCTCTTTTTTACACTGTCTCTAGATATCTATTACCTTTCCCTGGGATAGAAGTATATTTTTATAAATAACAATCTTTAGGAAAATATAAAACTTGAAGGTAGAATTTAAGATTTAAGTGAACAGGCATAGACTCTGTAGAGGTTTTATTTGGGATAGGAATCACACTACATAGATGGTCAGGCTGCTATAATAACCCCATGCCCTTTTCTATCAAGATAACACTTATGAGTCTGTACTCTGTGCAAATACTTGGAGGAAGGATCACATTCCACTATGGGCTTGTTGTTAGTTCATTGACTCTTACCTAACTCTCCTGAATACCTGTCCAGTTTATTGTTGCCTGTAACACATTTCTGTCCAGATTATTATTGTCTACAATACATTTCTCATCTTAAGTCACAGCTGTGGACACATGGGCACAGGTTATTCTTTTAACGATCTAAATAGAATCATAAAATAATTGTTCACACAACTTAAGTGAGTCCCTCTTTTGTCTATCTTATCGAATTAGGTAAAATGAACGATTTCTCTGAGGCAAAAAAAAAATAGCAATCCAGAGAGTATGTATGTGTATTTTATTCATTCATATAAGCAATAGCTAGAATATATTATTGCATTAGATGAAATGAATGAATGTCCATTGAAGACTGCGGGGGCTCTTGAGAACTGTTATTGACTTGAGTTTTACAGTTCTACCACACATAGAGCAAATTTTGCAGATACTATATTATTAAGATACAATAATTAAAAATTTAGACAATGGGGAGGGTCAGGGAGAAAAAAAAATTTAGACATTGGTGAATTTTCTTTATCTTATTGTATATGTCTCTGCTAAATCTATAAACTAAAAACCTTCATTTAGTCAATTCAACAAAAATAAAAGTTTTTAAAAAGAAAATTAATTTAAACCAAATAAAAGTTAAATAAGACAATAAAAAGTATATACTTCTTAATTAAAGCAATTTAAAATATATAAATACTATATTTATATGCTCTCTAACTATAGCAAATGTCAAGAATTAATATGAAGAAAACCCTCAAAACTTAAACATTTTATTAAAATGATGTTTACAGAAAGATTCATTAACTTGAAAATATGGTTAAATAAAAATGGAAAAAAGACACAAAAAGGTGTATTTAAAAGATGACAAAAATCTATGTACACAGAAAAATGAAAAAAATATAAGCAACTAGACTAAAATTAAAGACAAAATATTTGTAAATGTTGACTTTGACAATTGAGACCTTTTAACTTATTGATAGTTTTAATTTTCTGAATTAATTCAATTATACTTATGATAAATATATAAACTTTCTGTGAATTTCTGTGGTTATGCATATCATACATCTTATGACTAATTTTTTTTAAGATTTTAAAATTTTATTTATTGTTAGAGAAGGGAAGCGGGGGAGAAAGAGAGGGAGAGAAACATCAATGTGTGGTTGCATCCTGTGTGCCCCCCACTGGGGTCCTGGCCTGCAACCAAGGCATGCGCCCCACACGGGGAATCAAACCAGTAACCTGCCAGTTCGCAGGCCAGTGCTCAATCCACATAGCCACACCAGCCAGGGCATGACCATTTTATTTTTACATGAAGAATGAATATTTGACATTTGTTCTCTTTGTTCAATGTAGTTATTACTTATTTATAGTTACTAAATTTCAAGTAAAAATTATCTTTAATTATAATCTACGTAAGGTTTTTTGACAGTAATAGTTGTCTAGATAACCTCAAACAACCTCAGATTTATCAAAAGCAAGTTTTTAACAATAGATTTGTTTTGCAAGATATATTTTACTACTTATTTAATTTTTCATGTTTTAATTTTTTCCTGATTACAAGAATGATGAATGCTTATTGCTAAAATTCAGAAATATGAAAAACACAAAGAAAATAATTATTCTCCCAATACCAAGAGACAAGTATTGTTAACTTTAGCTAGTCTTATATTTTAAAAACCATTTTAAAAGCAATGTTTGATTTATATAATTGATATATTGTACTGAAAAATACCACAATTACCATTAATACTGATCCTGAAAATGGGTACAGATGACAGGAGCATGAATAAAGGCTTTCAGTATGGTAGGTTTAAGTCAAATTACACACCTTCCTGCAGAGTGTAGATGCTTAGGTCCTTTAATCACAGATGCCTGGCACGCTAACACTGTAGAACCATGGAGACACAACTGAACCAAGAAGATAAATGCATCAGTTGGAACCCCATGGACACACTGACTATTATTTGGAAAGTTTGGTGTTTAGGGATTTAGAGACTCAGGCACTGACAGTCAAATCACGAAGGGAATTATTAAAAAATTTTAATCGAGACCTTTCGCCAGAAATTATGGGACACAGAAATAAGTGTGTATTGGGTTGATGGTGAGCTATGAGAGTAAAAGGCAATAGATACGAGGAAGAGGAAATTATAAAAGATGTGATAGTTGCCGTATTGTCAGCTGGGTTATATTGAGAGGCAAGTGTTCCGGGACTGAGGTTGATGAGAAGGATAATGAACAATTAAAGAAAGTTTGGCGCAGTTGCCTTGCCAAAAATAGTACACTTTTGCTTGTGCTGCTTTCTTCATATGGAGTGCCTTTTCTAATCAGAATTTTCAATTTTAGATTTTTATCTTATCTTTCAAAATTATAGAAATATGTAAAGTAAGAATGAAAATCTCCCATATCTTCCACTGCCTCCTCCATACCACCAGGGGGAGGGGCACAGGAAGGGTGGAGAGAGGGAATATAGAAGAGAGACAGAGAGAAGACAGAAGAGACAAAAAGGGTGAGAGCTTAGTAGATATACTTCCATGCACTGTACACAACTCTAATTCTTTTTTAACTGATATGTAATATTTTAAAAATATGGTCGTGCTATAATGAAATAAATACTCCATAAGTGGGCATGCAGATAATTCATTATTTTATTACTATTACAAATAGTGCTATAATGAACAATTTTGAATTTTGTTCACAGTTCTTTAGATATTTATTGAGTATATGTAAGGGAAAGAGGCCTGAAAGTGAAATTTCTGAGACAGTGTTGTCAAAAAATTTTTTCTCCCAAAAAGCTGGACTAATTTACACTCCCAGGAATAATACATGTGGTGCTATTTCAAACACTTTCCAATACTAGATAATATCAACATGCACTGTTATTTAATTTTAATTTGCAAATGTGATGGATAAAAATGAAACTTTGTTATCTTAATTTGCATTTGCCTCATCAGCAGTATGTATGAACATTTCAAGTTTTCACTTATTGCACATTTTTTTCTTCTGAAAATTTCATGCTCGTGTTGTCATTCTATTTATAGTTATGTATTTATTACCAATATACAGAAGTTATCTAGACTGAAAAATATTACATGATGCAAATGTTTGAAATATTTAATCCTAGTTTAAATTTACAATTGATTGAATTTTTTATGTAATTTTTTATTTACTGGTGGTGCATTGGGTAATAAAATTATACAGGTTTTAATTATAAAATTATATGATACATCATCTGTATATTGCTTTGTCTGTCTACCACCCAAAGTCAAATCTCCTGCTATTATCATATATTTGACCCTCTTTACCCTTTATGACAAGCCATCCCCCTTTGTCCTCTGGTTTCCACCATACTATTATTGTCTGTGTCTATGAGTTGCTTTTTTTTTAAAAAGATTTTATTTATTTATTTTTAGAAATGGGGAGGGAGGGGGAGAGAGATAGAGAGGGAGAGAAATCTCAATGTGTGGTTGCCTCATATACACCCCCTACTGGGGACCTGCCTGCAACCCAGGCATATGCCCTGGCAGGGAATCTGACCAGCGACCTTTTGGTTCACAGGCTGGAGCTCAATTCACTGAGCCACACCAGCCAGGGTGAAGTTTTTTTTTTAATTTTTTTTGGTTACATTGGTTAAGAAAATTATATAAAAGATTAAGGTATAAAATTCTATAATACATTATCTGTCTATTGTGTGTTCATCACCCTAACTCATGTCTCATTCCTCATACCATTTATCTCCTCTTTATTCTCTTCTCCCTCCTCCCATTAATTTCCTTCTGGTAATGTTCATATTGTTGTTTGTATATGAGGTGTTTTTTTTTTCCTTAATTCCTTCATCTTTTTCACCCAGCTCTTTTATCCTCTCCCTTCTGACAGCTATGAGTCTGTTTCTATTGTCAGCTAATTTTGTTCATTAGATTCCACACATAAGTAAAATCATATGGAATTTGTCTTTCTCTCCAGATTCATCCATGTTGTAGCAAAAGGTAAGATTCCCTTCTTTTTTATAGTTGAGTAGTATTCCATTGTATAAATGTGCTGTGACTTTTTAATCTACTTATCTACTGATGGGCCCTTGTGCTGCTCCCAAATCTTGCTTATTGTAAATAATGTGGCAAAAAACATAGAGGTACATAGTTCCTTTTCAACTAGTGTTTTTGGTTTTTCAGATAAATTCCCAGAAGTGGAATCATTATGTCATAAGGCAGTCCCATTTTTAATTTTTGAGGTAACTCTATACTTCTTTCCACAGTGGCTGCACCAGCTTATATTCTTACCAGCAAAGCATGACGGTTCAGTTTTCACCATTTCCTCATCAATACTTGTTTTTTTATTTATTGATGATAGCCATTCTGACAGGGAATGATAATATCTCATTGTGGTTTTAATTTGCATTTCTCCGATGATTAGT